TGCGACTACATCTCGCGCTGGCTAGGAGACGACTCGAGACTCTTTAAGCTTGGGCCGGTTCAACCGATATGCCTGCTTGATCTGGTTTTGGGGGGGGGGGACCTCCCACCAAATTCATAAGATACGGAATTTGATTGGATATCGAAGTTCGACCCTTGTGACCCAAGTCACCTTGGCGGTTCCTGTTTATTTTTTATTTTTGTGATCCTTATGATCCCCTGTGAGCCGAGTGAGCCTTGCGATCCCCTGGGACCCAAGCGACTTCTTTTGTTTACCCTTGTGATCCTTGGGCTTCTTGCGTCTTCTTTTTTTACCTTCCTAAATTCTTATGATCTTTGTGACCTTTATGTCTTTTTGTAAAAGACATATAGGGTGTCCCATGGGACTGTGTGAAAACATTGATTATTTTTTTTTACTGGAAACAGGGAAAAAGAGAAGGAATACAGTTCCTGATAGAGGAGAGGTGTCATTTTTATTTCACCGTATATTCATTATTGAAACATGTAATTCACTCAACAAAAATAGCAGCTTACAAAAATTGTACGTGACAAGTGCGATTAATAGTAAATGTTTTCGAAATGAGAGCCATCAACACTGGCGCAATAATCCAAACGTTTCCTAAAACCGTGGAATACACATTCTAATGTTTCCTGTGGAATACCGTGAACGGTCTTTTTAATGTTGTTTATCAAATTTTCGATTGTTTTTGGCTTGCTTGCGTAACAAGAATCTTTTATGTAGCCCCACAGGAAATAATCACACGGATTCAAATCTGGTGAATAGGGTGGCCAATCTATTCCCCCTCCACAAAATTTTGGATACCCCAAACCAAGAACTCGACCGCGATAAACCGTATTAAGAATTTCAAAAACTTCGTGAGTACGGTGGGGAGCTCCATCCTACATAAAATAAAACCCATTGACAAGCCCTCTTTTTCTCGCATGAGGGAAGAATTTTGTTTCTAACATTCGTTTGTACTCATTCCTGGTAACGGTAGATTCGAAAAAATGTAGATAGACACCATTCATGGAGAGAGCAGCCCAAACAGTGACTTTCTGTGGATGAGCAGATTTCGTAACCAAAAAATTGGGTTTTTCAGATCCCCAAAATCTCAAATTATTTTTGTTCACGTAGTTGTCTAGCCAAAAGTGTGCCTCGTCAGAAAAAATAACTGCTGTTTCATGCAGCTCGCCATTTCCGAACATTTGTGTCATTCTTTCATAAAATTCCTTTCGTCTCAGAATCGCCTCCTCTATCAAACGCTGACACATCAATATTTTATATGGATGAAGTTTCAAAAAAACGTGGAGGATGCGATGCAACGTTGATATGGTCAATTTTGAATCTTGAGCGGCTCTCTGAGTAGACGAGTTGGGATTTGCCTTGAAACACTATTTAACTTCATCGACCTTCTCCTCTGTTGCAGCAGAGAATGAGGGACCTGGAAGAGTAGCTCTACTATCATCCAAAGTGCCGTATTCCTCGAAATTTTCAATTATTCTAGAAAAAGAATGTTATCATGACTAGAAACCAACGGGATTTCTACGAAAATCTATAATGTGTTTTGTTGTGTCACACAATCAATATGAAAAAAAAATTATTCTCACCTCCTCAAAGTGGTTTCGCTAGCAACTCGTTTGGATCCAAATTTAATACGAAACCCCCTAAAAGCTTCACAGTATTTTTTCCCTCTCGAATAGAAGCACTCGATGAGATATCTTTTTTCTTGAATTGTCAAATCACTCATTACAGCCAACAAACTAAGGCTCCTGCCACAGTTGAAATAAAACTGACTGGCCCCTAGAAAACGTAACAAACGTAGAGAGTCAAGGTTATTTTGAATGAGTCGGCAGATGAGTTTAGTTTTCACACATTCCGATGGGACACCCTGTAAAGACCTCTGTGAATTCTGTTTTTTTTTGTGACGGCTGTGATTAACCCTTGTGACCTTTTCGATTTTTTCGTGCATTTAATTTAAACAATCCTTACCACTCGATTCCATAGTGAAATTTTGTGGCGAAATTGCGCAACGTTAGTTGTCACGGTCATCTCTTGAATCGGTCATTTTTTCCGGGGTCATTTTTTCTGGGGTCATTTTTTCATCGGCTACTTTTTCCGTAACTCATTTTTTCTCAGGAATCCGATTTCGTAGGTCTAATTTTTGACTCTGACCACTAAAAATTCAAGATTCAAATTTTTTTGAATCGAAAAATTAACTTTAAAAAAATCCCCAAGGTTTTTTAAAAGTTTTTAAAGATAATTCCAAATTTTCGTTCCTTAGTTATGAAAAATACCGGAGAAGATACATTTTTAAGTCTATTCGTCAACCAAAAAAAGTCGTCACTTTCAATAGATGGATGTTCTCGAAATTTTTTATGAGTATCAATTAGAATGAGTGAATTTCTACAAAAAGAATGCAAAATTAATGGAAACCATACGAAATCCATTCGAATTTTAGGGAGGAAGTGCGCTGGCAAAATCTGGATTACTGAGAGGAGCCCTCTCAACTGAAGAGAAATAAAAGACTACGTACATGGATGGGGACCACTAAACATAGAGTTACTTTCAATAGATTAGCATTAATAAATGAAGTTTACACATGATATTTAGACGAGAATTTTTTTTCTTAAGATATTAATCGAAGTTTTGATAAATCAGTAAATTTCAAAATGTATCTTCTTCTGCATTTTTTATAATTAAGGAGCAAAAATTTGTAACCATATTCATAAAACCATTTTGTTAAAATACGTTGGAGATTATTGTTAAGTTGACATTTGAATTAAAAAAAAATTTGAATTCCTAATTTTGAGCAGTCAGAGACAATTTCGACTGACAAATTCGGATTTCTGAGGAAAAGTCACGCGGAAAGTAGTATTTTTTATTTTTATTTGTCTTGAAAAACGAAGGAGTTTTTTTCCCAGGGTGAAACTCCCCTGGGAAAATTCCTGGGTTTTTTGAAATTTGTAAATATTTGGATTTTTTTTTAATTGTAGGAAATTTTCCAGTGCTTGAGAAAATTAAAAAAAAAATGGAATGGGGGCATAGTTACTTAAAGAAAATATGCTTAAAAAGTAAAATTTGGTTTCCTGTATATGTAAAATAATGGAGATTACTGTTATTCAAAAGTTAGTTAGTTACTCATTAAAGTTATTAAAAAAATCGAGGGGACACCCAAAATGTGTGAAACTAAAGGCCAATGGATGTCTCTATGAAAATGACAAAATGAATACTTGCATGAATTTGAGACACAGACCGACTAAAGAAAACTCAGGAGAACACCGTATTTTGAGAAAAACTTCTGCGATGATGCGAATGCAAACTGTTAAGAATGCCACCAAAAAAAAAGACGATTCATAGATCAAATTTTTGAATTAGGATCGATTTAGTGTTGGACTGTGATTACGCTGTGAGGAGAAACTTTGGATTCATTTTCATGTTCATATAATTAATATCATTATCATTTTTCATTGTATAATCTTATCAAGTACTTACCGTGAAATTCCCTTTCGTATTAGTTGGTAATAAATATGATGCCTTTTCATTCACACATTTTTCTTTGCTGACATTTATTAATTTGTCGAAACTACACAGAGGAAAACCTCCATCCTATTGTACAATCTGAGTAATCAGAGAACAGAATTGTGTTTCAGAAATTTTTATCTGAAATTGAGTTAAAATTGTGAGGCGAAGAATAAATTCCTTTCTGTATGACATAGTTTTTCACGAATGATAAGTGAAATTTTGTGTTGATTCTTTCTCACCTTTGCGGACCGTACTTAAATAGATTGGTAATTACTCATATGAGGGACTCTTCGTCAGGTGAACCGCCGACATTCTATAATGTCACCAAAAATTTTCTACCAATTTTAGAAGGGTTTCCGAGTGTGGAAAAAAAATAAATTTTCTTTTCCTCTCAATGGAATTTGTTGAAATGTATTCAAATAAGGCCACAAGAAATTGGAAATTCAAACCAAACAAAAAAAAGAAGACATTTGGGTATAAAATTGTTTAATCTAAATTTAATTTATTGAATTGACGAGGTTAGAACCTGTTCCAGATTAGGTATAAACCTCTTTATTTATCTTTGAAAATACGCAATCAAAAAATCTGAAGAAGTTCGCAAACAACATTTTCCCATCAGGAAACGCTCTCTAACTGTCGCCCAATTTTTGGCGATTTAGAAAAATATAAGCAATATATGCTCACTGGACGAAGAATCCCTCATATGTGGGAAATTCTATAAATGACAGTGATACTTCAATTTACGCGCTTGTACAATCCGGAATCTGCGAATTTTCAAATACGGGTTCACGTACACCTGTATAGCTAATTGGACGAGATGATTTGGCTGCGTTCAGATAATTCGGCAGCAGTCATTTTTCGCCCGTAGAATAATCCGTAGAAGACATTTTTACCCCGTAGTTTAGACAAACCCGACGGGTCACCCGTAGATTAGCCGTACGACCCGTACATTGCTCGTAGACCACCTGTACTTCACCCGTATTTGGTGCGAATAGTCACACTGAAAAAAAAAACGTTTTCTATGGTCAGGGAATTTCATCAATTTGATCGGAAAAAGTCAGGGAAAACGCAGGGAATTTTGTTGAAACTTCCAGATGGACAGCCTGATGATAGTGCAGTGGACAACATCAGGAGGTGAATTAGAGATGATTTAAACGAATTATGTTAATAGTATAATCCGATTTCCGTAGACTGTCAAATACAAGATTCGATGTGAAATGAGCCGAAAAAATGAAGAGCTACTGCAAATTATTCAGGTAAAAAAAAATCAGAGCTACTTCGAAAGATTTAAAAGCTAGGAGGAAATATCCGAAACAAAACTGTCGGGTAGCCTCAAATACTGTGCTGAGACTGATCGAAATCCGATTAGGAAAAATGATCTGTTTGCCCCAATAACAAACAAACCAATAAATGAACAACAGATGAAGGGAAATTCTGTTCCCCCACTGAAATAATTGCTTCATTTTTTCAATCTGCAGGTGTGGGATGCGACCTCTGATGCTATGATAACCTTCAATGAAGACTATCTAGCTGATGAAATCGCTTACGTAGTTGAGAACGATATCGTTCTTCATGCTCTAGATCAAGAGCTCGAGGACAAAATAAATCTCAATGTTATCTACAACGCCAAAGTTGAAGACATTTATCTGCCATGTAAGCGCGGGGAGAATTCTAAAATCAAACTTCAGAGTGGAGAAGAATTCTCAACAAAATTGTTGGTGAGAAAAATTATCATATTTATTTGTTATATTCTGAGTAAGAGTCTTGCGTCAATGAACCATCTTTCAGTTTATAGGAAAAGAGCAAAACTTGTTAGAATAATAAGGAAACGATGAGCGGAGATATTTTTGCAAATTTATGTCTGTAGGATCTCGCTTAACAGTCCCTTTCAGGTATAATAATTTCAGACCGTTTGAAGTTGAATTCGTCAACAGATTGATTTTATTTACCGTTCATTCGATTTCCACAGAATGTGGACCTAAGGTAAATGTACCTATACTTGTCCCTGTCTCTATGCTCGTTCAGATGTCGTGAGCTATCACATTTTAATCATGTTGACAGTCTCCGGTGCGAACCGGAGACCACCGGGATCACCGGTACGGTGATCGGTGTTGAAGAGTCTCTCAAGAGTGAAATACGATAGGGGATATTGTTTTAGTTAATAACGAAAGTTATAGGCACCAATGAGCAGTGATTTATTGAAGAATAAGAGAGAACAATCCCATCCACATCAACTGGTGCTACGACAGAGTGAATTCTTAAGCTGCAAGTTAAGAAACACAATTTTAAAACGTCGATATCTCCGTTATAAAAGTTGTAAGGAATTCTGGGAAATTCCTTCTGCCAGCCAGAGACAACCGAGAACTTCAAATGGTCGTGAGTTAGACAAACATCCAGAACCTTAGTTTTTATTGAATCAATACAAGATAATTGACAAGGGATTAATTTAGCGTCTATAGATACAGGGATAATCAGATCGTATACGGTTAATTTCCGTTAATTTAATGTAGCTATAATTTTTAGTTATTTTGGGTCTGCTATAATAGGTTTTTGTTAGTGTTTCATTCGTTATGCTGCTCGTGGGTTAGGAATTTCATGAATTTAACTATACAGAACCGATACGATTCTCGCGACATACCCGGGTAGAAATCACGCCGCTCGAGCTCGGCTCGGAACCCGTATCCCAGCTAGAAATACGCCACTCCGCCCAGTTTGGGATAAACTCCACGCGCGTCACATGTACCCGAGATTGAGCCGCGTCACGCGCTCACAGCCCAGCGTTAGACTATTATGCGAAACGCTTCGCCGGGCTTTAGTTGCATGGCCACTGCTCAACTTCAGGTTCATCTCCAATTACTCAATCCCAGTATACTTAACCTCAATAATGATTTGACAGGTCCGATGGCATCGTGATTTGAGCGAAAAAACAATCGAATAAATGTGAAGATGGCATGCTTTTTCAGATGAACAATCACAAGCTCATCAGAAATAACGTGATATTAACTAATCGAATGGGATTAATCTGAAAATACAAGGTAGAACAATTCACTGAAACGTAGTCAAAACTTT